TTTCTCCTTTTGTTTTGTTTCTTATCTAATTTTTAAAATTTAAAACCTTTTGGGTTTGATTTTATTTTGCGATTTCATTCTTTAATATTAAACTTGTGAAGTGTTGATCTTCATAGTTGAGCTCGAATTTAAAACTTAATGAATTGCAAGTTTAAGATACTAATATGGGGTTAAAAGGTTCACACAAATTTGTTTAGTTTTTTTTCTTCTTGTTTTTTCATCATTTGATATTTTTTTTATTTTTTATGGGATTTTTCTGATTTTGTTTTATAGTTATGCGGGTTATCTTGGGTTTCTTTTCTTTGCTAGATTTACCTCTTTTAAAGGGAATTTTTTTATTATATTAAATTTATTTATTTCACCCTTTAACATTAAATTTGTTTGGTATTGCCTCAGTTTTTTGTGCTCTTTGGTAGATCTTGTTTTTAAAAAATTAAATTAATTAATTTCACCCTTCAACATTAAATTTATTTTATATTGAACTTCTTAGTTTAACCTAGGTATGGAGTTTTAACCATTTATAACTTTAAGAGATTAACTTAGGTTTAGAAAATTTATCCAGATTTGTTTGATTTTTTTAATTTTTTTTTTTTTAGTTTCATTCTTATATGTTTTTTCTTAATGCCCCTACCAATAATAGTGTTGCTATAAATAACTATTGATAAATTAGGACAATAGATTTTATGTGTGTGTGTGGTTTTTTTTTTTTTTTCAACATATTTTCTCCTATATACCAAGTTATTGAAAAAAATTTCTATAATTATCAAAATCAATTACTCATTAATATATCTTAATCCAATCATTACATCTCAATCAACATGTATGTCTTTCATACCAATAATTATTTCTATACAAATCAACATGTATGCTCCTCGATAGGCAAATAAAAGAAGGCAACCATCAAGAGATCATGAAATCACCACTCATACTCTAGTATCGTAATCTCACCCTGCCTCAACGCAAGAAACCCAGGCTCCTTGCTTCTTTTATGTTAATAGTAATAATTGTTCTCAAATTTTGTTAGGGGCTCTGCTATAGGCACCTCCGGTGGTGGTCTACCCAATTACTCCTCCCTAACCAGTACCTGTTGTATCTCGACCTGTTCTAGTGCTGCACCACCCGGGAGTCTTGTTGACTTCCCCTGCTCTAACTGTACTAGTACTGTAAGTGCATGAGAAGCAGTGTCTGCTAAAGGGTCCTCCTCTTGATTTTCCCTTAGTACAATATCCTGATCCCTTTGTCCTGTTGAAGACAGATCAGTCATAATCCCTTGCCTAGTATATATCATCCTGCGTCCATTCAACATTCACCAAAAAATTGTGTGAGTCTACTAAATCAAAGTCAGTGCTCTACACCAACTATAATACTCCCAACAATAATGGTGTCAATATAAAGAATTATTGAATATATATATATATACATATTCCATCAAAACCAACTAAATCTAGTAAAACATATTCAATTTGTTGTGTGTGGACACAATATGGTTGGTGGCAGCCATGTTTGACATGGCAAATGGTGGGTGCCTAACCAAAGAAAATGTTGCCCACCATTGTTGACCAAAGGAAGAAGATTGTCTCTCATATCAACTATAAATAGAGGGTGCAATTGATAGTTGATCAACACACGAGATAGAGAGAAACACAGAGAGAGCTAAGAGTGAGAGTTGAGTAGAGAAATTTTTCTCCTCCTCCTTGTTTTGTTATTTGTATTGCTTTTAAACTTGATTAATACAAACCAGTAGCTCCGTGGAGTAGGCAAGTTGCCGAACCACATAAATTAATGTGTGTTTGAATGCTTGAATGGCCTAACAACTGGTATTAGAGCTTGTTCTTAAAAAAGAGAGTGTTTGATCCAAACTCAAAAATCAAAGTTCTCAAAACATGTTTTTGAACATACCATCGTGAAGAGGAAGATGAGAGGAATCCACTGGTGAAAACCTGGCAAAAAACCGACGTCCTGCATGCCCGCACGCGTCTGGACTGCCCACGCTCACCGATGCGCCTCACGTTCTCCACGAGTCTTCCTCGCCCGTTTTCTACAAACTGAACCTGGTTGATCCGACACGTCAGCAGCCACACAAGTTGTTCTGCACAATCATTAGCCACGTCACCTGACACATCATCACTGCCACGTCACCTGACACATCATCACTGTCACGTCATCCTGAAATCCATGTGGCTCTGCCACGTCATAATTATAGGCCCCACTTAACTTACATGGTTGACGCGTCAGCATTCTGGGTTTTGATCCGGTGTGGTGCAGCGACTATTCCTCCTGACACGTGGCTTCATCTGCAGCGTCAAGTGATCCAAAAGTTTGATTGTTTATATCTGTTTAAATCGGAGCCATCCGAAGTCCGATTTGGGTGATCTCAGTGTCGTTTCCAGCATTTTTAGCCATTCCGGACACATCTATAAAGTCAAATTTTGCAGACTCAAATCCGAGAAAGAGTAAAAATGGCTGATGAAATAAAGGCTGCAGGAATTGAAAAATTTGATGGAACTGATTTTGGATATTGGAAAATGCAAATTGAAGACTATCTATATTGAAAGAAACTTCATCTTCCTTTGTTGGGGAGCAAACCAGAAAACATGTCAAAAGAAGATTGACAAATTCTTGATAGACAAGTTTTGGGCATTATTCGGCTATCCTTGTCAAGAAGAGTTGCTCATAATGTTACAAAAGAGAAATCCACAGCAAGATTGATGGAAGCCTTGTCTGGGATGTATGAGAAGCCATCAGCAAATAACAAAGTGCACTTGATGAAGAAGTTGTTCAACCTGAAGATGACAGAAAGCACCTCTGTTACACAGCATCTTAATAATTTCAACACCATCACAAATCAATTGTCATCCGTTGAAATTGAGTTTGATGATGAGATCCGAGCACTTATTTTGCTAGCTTCACTTCCAAGCAGTTGGGAAGGTATGAGAACAGTCGTAAGCAACTCAGCTGGAAAATCCAAATTAAAGTATGATGATATCCGAGACCTGATTTTAGCTGAAGAAGTACGAAGAAAAGACTCGGGTGAAAGCTCAAGTTCAGGTTCAGCTTTCAACATCAACACTCGAGGAAGGAGACAAGACAGAGGCTTATCCAGAGGCAGATCAAAATCCAGGTACAGAAGCAAAAGCAAGTTTGGACCCAGGAAACAGGTTGAATGTTGGAATTGTGGCAAACCTGGCCATTTTATGAGGAGTTGCACAAAACCAAAGAAACCTGAAGCTGATTCTGTAAATGCCACTACAAACGAGGTACAAGATGCTTTGATCCTTGCTGTACATAGTCCTATTGATGATTGGGTTCTTGATTCTGGAGCTTCATTTCACTGTACTCCACACCATGAAATGATGCAAAATTACACTGCTGGAAATTATGGGGTAGTCTATCTGGCCGATGGACAACCATTGGAGATTGTGGGTATAGGAGATGTGCAAATCAAGACAATGAATGGATCTACATGGAACTTGCAAAATGTAAGGCATGTTCCTGAACTAAAGAAGAAGTTGATCTCGGTCGGACAACTTGATGATAGTGGCCATTCAATCCTTTTCTCTGGAGGAATGTGGAAGGTATCAAAGGGAGCAATGGTTTTGGCTCGTGGAAAGAAAACCGGCACCCTGTATATGACCACAAGATCAGCAGATATAATTGCCTCTACTGAAGCAGAAAATCAGGCACAGCTATGGCATTGCAGACTCGGCCATATGAGTCAAAAGGGGATGAAGATACTTCAGTCAAAGGGAAAGCTGCCAGAATTAAAAAATGTTGATCTAGACATTTGTGAAAGCTGTGTTCTCGGAAAACAGAAGAAGCTCAGTTTCTTAAAGGTTGGCAGGACCTTAAGACCAAGAAAACTAGAACTGGTGCACACAGATTTATGGGGACCAGCTCCAGTAGCATCTCTTGGCGGTTCTCGGTACTATGTCACTTTTATTGATGACTTTAGCAGAAAGGTATGGGTCTACTTTCTGAAAAATAAATCTGATGTGTTTGACACATTCAAGAAATGGAAGGCTATGGTTGAGACTGAATCAGGTTTGAAGCTGAAATGCTTACGATCTGATAATGGAGGAGAATACATTGATGGAGGTTTCAAGGAGTATTGCGCTGTCAACGGTATCAGAATGGAAAAGACAGTTCCAGGCACACCACAACAGAATGGTATTGCTGAACGGATGAACCGGACCATCAATGAACGAGCTAGAAGCATGAGGTTGCATTCTGGGCTACCTCAAACATTCTGGGCTGATGCAGTTCATACTGCAGTTTACTTGATCAACCGTGGACCATCAGTACCTTTGGAGTTCAGACTGCCCGAGGAAGTCTGGAGAGGAAAAGAAGTACAGCTTGCTCACCTAAAAGTCTTTGGGTGTGTTTCCTATGTGCATGTAGACTCTGATGCTCGCAACAAGCTGGATGCCAAATCAAAGAAATGTTTCTTTATTGGCTATGGAGATGAAGAATTTGGATTTCGGTTCTGGGATGATCAAAACAGGAAGATTATCAGAAGCAGGAACGTGATCTTCAACGAGAAAGTTTTGTACAAAGACAAATCAAGTACAGAACTAGAGATAACTGATTCAGATACGAGTCCACAGAAATCTGAATTCATACAATTAGAAGGGCTTCCTGATGTTACCACTCAAGAGTCCACACAAGATAGTTCAAGCACTTCAGTACCCACCACTTCTACACAAGATAGTGCAGAGCCAAGTGAACCAGCTGTTCGCAGGTCTTCAAGGACTATAAAGCCTCCACAACGGTTCACACTTCTACTGAATTATATCTTGCTGACCGATGGTGGTGAACCATTAAATTATGAAGAATCCTTACAAGATGGAAACTCGAGCAAGTGGGAGTTAGCCATGAAGGACGAGATGGAGTCATTGCTGAAGAACAAGACTTGGGAGTTAACCAAACTGCCTGAAGGAAAGAAGGCCCTGCAAAACAAGTGGGTTTACAGAGTAAAGACCGAGCATGACGGAAGCAAACGGTTCAAAGCAAGACTTGTTGTAAAAGGGTTTCAGCAAAAGAAGGGGATCGACTATTCTGAGATATTTTCTCCAGTTGTGAAGCTTACAACAATCAGAGTTGTTCTGGGGATAGTAGCTGCAGAAAATTTACATCTTGAACAATTAGATGTAAAAACAGCATTTCTTCATGGAGAATTGGAGGAAGACATTTACATGCAACAACCAGAGGGGTTTGCAATACCAGGAAAGGAGAGTCAAGTTTGCAAACTAAAGAAGAGTCTATATGGTTTGAAGCAAGCTCCAAGACAGTGGTACAAGAAGTTTGATAACTTCATGAGTAGTACGGGATACACAAAATGTCAGGCTGATCATTGTTGCTATGTCAAACATTTTGACAACTCCTATATCATTCTACTGCTATATGTGGATGATATGTTAATTGCAGGTTCCAGCATGGAAGAGATTGACAAGCTAAAGCAACAGGGCTCATCGGAGACATGTCTTACCTTCACAGCTGGTGGTTTGAAACTTGAAGGTTTTGTAGATGCTGATCTAGTAGGAGATGTTGATAACAGAAATAGTATTACAAGTTATATATACACTCTAGGAGGCACTGCTGTTTCTTGGAGTTCTACCTTGCAAAAGATAGTTGCTC